TGAACAATAAGGGTTCATAAGACTAGGGTACACGGCATACACTAAACCACATTCAAAAGATTTTCAAGGAATGGTAGTTGTATATATGGATAAGGATAGTGTTATTCCAGTGAAGAAATGCATTTGCCACATGGGCATGGAATAACTAGGCAGAGGAACATTTATTAAGGATATTTTGCGCAGTGGTGGTGGCAGGGGAGGTTTGACAACTCTTATCAAATGTCCCATTTGTTGGGGGAACGTCTTCACGTGTATATAAATAATTCTCTTAATTTCCTATGCTATCTGACTAAAACCAGTAATGACTATTCATGAGTTTTCTTACTACCCAGTTAATTCCTGCAGAGACATGTTAGTGATATCTGACACATTTCAATATGAAGTGCATGTCTCAATAGAGGGTGGTGGTGCTGACATGGAACCCAGCTGAAGCAGTTTGGTGGTGACTGACTGACTGATGACCTCAGCCCAGAATGTGCAGTTCAGTTGTGAAGGTCCTTGTGGATTTTGCCTTGCATTCTCTAGCTTAAAGCTTTTCCTTTCTGAAATCATGATCCACCAGAAGTTCTGACAAGATCATGGAGGAACTATTTCTGAGCTTATTTGGAAACTCTTGCTTTGTTTAAATAATGAACAGGCATCTCTCCAAAGAAACCTAGAATGCAGAAAATACTTAGAACTTCTCTCAGATACCTTGTGCAACTTTCTGCTTTTACAGTTGAAGAAACAGACATAAAGTAGTAAAGTCCAAGAAAATCACTAGGTTGTGCGGAGACTAAGGCTACAACTCCTTGTCTCATGGCCCCATTCATGTTCTATACTTTATGCTGCCTGTGCAATCTGAAAAGGAAACAAAACCCAAAATACCCACTCCGTTTCCCCAAACCCAATAATCTATTTCTAAAATCAAGTTATAAATTTCTGAAACAGAACAGGGGCAGCCCCATCCCATCACCCCAGAGGAAACATGACCTTCTTGGCAGGGAAGATGCAGCTCTGAGGTAAAAGGAGCTTAATCACTCCCCAGCGATCAGCCCACAAACCCTTCCTTCACTAGTGACAGAGCCTGGAAGAGCACGTCTCTCCCTTTACAACATAACCTAATTGCTGCTTCCCCACCAGCCTTGGCGCTTGCTCTGTGGCAAGCTCTGGCTCCCATCCAAACTTTCCATGGGATAGAGCCAAACCCCAGACTCCCTGTCCCAGGAACCAGTCCAACATGGCCTTAGCAATCAGTGAGGAGCTCTATACCACAGCCTGGGGGGCCTGGCTGCCTGGGTGGGTGGCCAGAACCCCTCTCAAAGGTCTGTTCTGACTCAGCAAGATAAGGCTGAGGAAGGAGGACAGGTTAGTGGCAGCACTGTGGGGCTTCTGGGCTGGGACATGAGAACACTTGCTCTGGTTGACTCTTTCAGACTGGAAGAAATTTGAATTCAGTGTACCAGTTTCAGAGGGTCATATACTCGATATTTAAATTCAGTCAAGGAATTAATTTAGAGATTATTGGAACCACTCTTAACACCTTGTCTGCTCATCCAGAGGTGAAATTGGAACTTGGACAGAGCAGGTACAGGGCTTGTTTATAAGATTTTTCAAGACTCCTCTCATCCCTTTCCTAAGAGAAGAGTGCCTGGTGGGGCCAATCTGATGTCTCTTGTACTGTGAAATGTATCATTAGTATTGCTAGAACAGGTTGGTCAAGTCTTATATTTGCATGGTGTACCTTTTCCTGACCAGTTTTCAATGGTCAGGTAGGAAATGTGGGAGTTTGTGTTTTTCTGAGGCAAGCCTATATGTCCCCCAGATACTAGTTCACCCCTCAATCTTTGATCCCCCTCAAATAAGTGTCAGGGGCAGGGTGAAACTGATTCACTTTCTGCAAGTCCTCATGTTGTAGAAGTAGCTTTCAAATTGAGAACTCATGGAACCCCAAGCTATGTTTATAGACAGCTAGGGATTGCCTGGCCTATTCACATTCAATAACTTTCTTTAAATTGATCAATGAGCATGAATGACATTGTATAAACAAGGAGAAACTCAGATTCTGAAGCCAGATGGTGTCATCTGGCTATGAGATAGTCATTCTCACATGATTCAGATGTACCGATGTTAATTTGATTAAAAAAAAATGTTAGAATGAAACAAAAATCTAAAATCTCCTTTTTGAATTCACATTCTCTTCCCCTCTAATTCTTCCCATTCTTAGAACTTTCAGGGATTCTTAGATGCCATTCTGAGGAATAGGAGTATAGAAGAGTCTCCTGACAGAGAACATGTCCCTTTAAGTGATGAGCAGGAGGTAGGCCTTGTCTGGCCTATGGTCTCCATGGGAGTCTCAGACTAAACAAGGGAAACATACTGGCCACTCAGTTGGGAGTTGGGAGGATCTTAGTGATTGTCTCCTTCAAGGGCACCTGATTTATGACTTATTGTCAACATCCTAGCCACCACAGGGCAGCTCCGATTAATGCACTGTCTTTGCAGCCAGAGTTGGCTGATGTGGAACTTTTAAGATTGATTTTGTTCTTGTCATGTTTGACTATATTGAATTAATAGGGGTAAAAAGTCTCAAAGATGTTGGGGCAGAGGGCATATAAGCCTGATGTGAACGCATTTCTTTTTTTAAATAAGTGGATACAAGAAGTTCATTTGAGCAGCCAATGAGTGTGCTGACTTGCTTCTGAAAAATGTACAGATGGAAGTTTGGAGGGGAAGCACAGATGGAGAAGTCTTTTCATTTTGATTTGTCACTGAGCTGAGACTTTGTTGCTGAGGATGTCAAGACTCAAGAGATGCAAACACAGGGAGCAGGAGTAATATAGACACATGGCAGGCACAGCCGGCAGGGAATGTGTTTCTGTTGGGTTCAGGTACATGAAGGACACATGACCTGGAGTAGTGGAACTTGAGCACAAGTCCTGGTGCCCTGCCTTGGGGGCAGAGCTGAGTGTTCAGGGATGCCAGTGATGTTTCCAGATGACTTAGATAAGCTACTCCAAGTAATCCCTCTCCCATCCTTAAAGAAGGAATCCTGTCTCTGCTCTTCCTTTGTTGAGCTAGGCATTGTACACTGAAATTTTGGTAGAGTTCATCAATTGAGTGATTTTGTACTGAAGATTCTCTTGGAATTGGTTTATTTTCTGGTACCACCTACATGTATATATTCTAATTTAGCTTTAGTGGGTTCACATTCAAAACTTTATAGACTTCTAAGTTCAAATACATATTTACAGAGTCCTGTTTTTGAAAGTATCTGCTGGCCTCTGTCACATGTTTTGAACCCAAATAGTTTTTCATGGCCACCAAGAAACAGAATTGGAATCCTAAGGATATCCTAATAATGAGATTTTCTTTGGTTACTAGATTGTTATGCAAAACATTTGAAATTTGTAAACTTTACAGCTGGTTGATGAAACTCTATTATCACTTGAGTTTACATGCCAAAGGTATGTTGGAAATAAACACATGAGATTGGTTTTGAATGTCCATTTTTAAAGATGTGTTGGGTTCTTGTGCCCAAGGAGCACAGCTTCTCCTGGCCACAGTTAAGTTTGGGGTGTACCCGGTTGGCCTTGTCCCAGAGTCCTCTGGCTCCCTCGTGGGGAAGCCTAAGGCAGTAGAACACACTTCAGTCTATACTTTGTTGCTGCTCTTGGTAGAACTGTTGCTCCTTCTCTGAACAGAAGAAAGACCCAATTTTCTTAGAGATTCTTGGCTGTCAGAACCTAATCAGCCCTCCTCTGCTGCATGCTGTGGCCTGGGGTGTCAGAGGAACCTGCAACTTTCTTTGGCTGGGGAAAGCCTCTTCCCTGTGGTGTCTTAGACAGAAGACACTCCCTCCCACTCTTTTAGGTCTGAGTTGACTGGGAAGGTTCACCTTACCAAAAAACTAAAACAAAAAACAACCCTGTTTCTAGAACCACCCCTCAAACTAGAAAATAGTCCTTAATCAGATATTATATACAAGGCAGGCATTGAATACTTTGTGAAAATTCAGTTATTGCTGGCCTATGTGCTGTATTAAAGGGTGGAGCCTAGAACTTTTAGCTTCCACTAGCACCCCCAGTAAAAATAACCTTCCCATCCCGGGTGTGTACAGGGTATCATTGTTCAGATCTCAGCTCTGTGAGGAGGGATAGGCCATGTTCATCAAATATGGAGAACTTAACTGTTCCACATTAGTGATCTTTTCTATTGGGAACATTAGTAAACAGAAACCCTATTTAAATGATAGAAAGCTAGGGGGAAAAAAGTGCCCAGGAATGTGTAAATCAGTAAACTACAGGACCTAATATGCATTACATCTACCGCAGGTGATACTGTTTCCCACTCAGGTTAGCTTTGGACTTGGTTCTGTCTGTGAACACATTCTTCAGTTGGACTCTTCTCTTGTTTCCAAATAAACTCCTTTGTTATTGGAATAACTGATTGTTTCGTTTAAGGTCAACACTGAATGGACTTTGAGTGCTGGTTTGAAGAATTTAATTGATGAGCACTGGTGTTGACAGAGGAGCCATTTGAGGCTGGATGGCCACTGTAGACTCAGGAGATGTCGTTCCCACCTTCCACAAACCAGAGAGATCACAGGGTGAGGGTGGGATGAACTAGTGCTGAGCTAATGTGATACTTCCACATTATCACAGATACAAGAGAAGGGTAGCAGGACAGGAGGCAATGCAAGAGCAAGTCCCTTCAGGTGAAGTCCTCCAGGCAGCTTTAGGGGGAAATAAATATTTTGTCTCAGTGTTTATTAAGACTTCGATGAAAGATGTCATAAGCCATAGTGTGACGTATGGCTGTGAGACAGAGAAGGGGGTCATGGTGGCCACAAACTATTTCCCACACTGCCCTGTCCTGTGTGTACACCCACCATAGCTACTTCCATTCGGGATGTAGAAAAGAGTTCTTACTCTAATTTTCTTCTTCCTTTCAACACCATTATTCTCATCACTTTGTCTAACTCCCAAGAAATTTTAGTTTTAAATCACAACTCCAAAACCTCGTTTGAAGGGTATTTATTAACGAACCAGAGAAAACAGCACAGAATGACCATGAAGTCAAGAAAGACAGATAGGAATTCACACATTCTGCTTGACTCTCTCAAGCATGCTGGAATAAACCCTCTTTGTGCCTCGCAGCGGTGCCCCTGAGATGGGGGAGGTGGTCCTGAAGAGTTCCAGCATCTGGGTTTTGGGTGGCAACATTCTCTCTTACCCCAAACCCCTTGGGAAGTTTCTCTCTGCAAGATCATAAACTGCACATCTAAGACCTGAAAAGCAAGCTCTGTAAATTTTCAAATTTGCAGCTTTATACCTTTGAAGTTGTCACTATCTTTTTTGAAACAGCACATTGAAAGACAGATTGCAAACCCAGCCCATTAGCTACTATTGTTCTTTTCTTCTCTGCTGCTTAACAGTCTAGATCCAGGTTGACACCTCCCACACTCCAAAGGAAGAATAATAAAGAGTTTTAATACTAGAGTTTTCAAAATGTGAACATACACCATCTCATTAGATCAATCAGTAGCCCTGGAGAGTGGGGCAGCAGGCATGGCGGTTCTGTGATTCAGAAGACAGAATTGTTAGTGGTGGAGCTGGGAAACACACCCTTATACTCTGACCCCTGATCCAGAGCTCCTCTGCTCTACTATGAACTGAGCTCACCTTGGCCACTAGAGCAGACTTTAGGCTTCAGATACATAAGATGTCCTTTGGGCTTGCAAACAAAAGTTACTTTAAGTACAGACCTTGTCAGTGAGCTCAGAGGATAAACACATCTGAGCTCAATACAGCAGCAACACCAGAAGAATGAGTAGGGGAGAATATGGGGCATTTTCAACAAGAGTTTCTTTTCTTGATTCTCACCCGGACCACGCTGGGTGCTGTGACTTGAACACAGCGAGGTCTAGGAGGGGCAAAGGCCTTCAGAGGACTTTCTCATCGAGCAATTTATTTATTCCTTCACAAATCCTCTTGAGGTTGGGCCTACAGTCTCCATCCAGACTGTAGAGGGTGGAGAGGAACCCTACATCAGCAAAGTGGTTGAAGACATGGTTGATGCGCCCATGGGTCCTGGGCGTCAGGTGTCGCTGCACCAGTTCATGCACCAGGTCCTTGCACTCATGGAGGAGCTTAGAGAGCACATTTCTATCGAAGGTGTACTCTACCTCATAGAAGCTAACAATGGTCATGGCCGTCTGGTTCAGCTTCTTTCTGAACTTCTCCACAATAACAACCTCCTCCTGGCTAAACTGGTTGTTCCGATAAAGAATCCCAATCTTGATCGCCACCTTGATTAAGTCTTTCATGATCTTGTGGGCTTCCTTCTTATTGTGGGTGTGCTCTTTGGTGACTCTGTAGAGCTCATCAAAGATCTCACTGCTGGTGTCATCAATCAACATGTTGGCTACAGTTTTGCTGGCTATTTTGCTCAGAATTTTCTTCTGGGCTTGAAGGGCAAGGCTCTTTGAACTAAAAGCATCAGGACCTATGGTGAAGAAAGAAAGAAAAGTTGTAGAAATTTGAGACCCATTTTTATGTTTCTACAACTGAAATACTAACTTGAATATGGATTCTTAGAATAAACAATTCTTTATCCCTCACAACTCACTAATTAAACCCTGCCATGGCCTAGCTGGTCCTATCCTCATGACATGCTTGTGTACCTTTCGAATCATCTGAATTACACTCTTTCCTCTGTGAATGTGGTCTCCTTTAGTCCAGGCCAAATATTACCTTTTTAGACATGCTTCACACACAAAGCTTTCCCGACTCTACGAGCTCACAGGGACCTTTCTACAGTGGCTGAGTAGAAACCATTCAGCTTTGCAAATTATACCAGATTGCTCAACGACACCAATGCCAACCCCATTCCCAGGGGACACAAGGGAAGTTCGTGGGAGGCTTTCTGACTGAATCTTACCCATACTGCACTGAGCCCAAGATGTATTTTTTTTTCACAGTTGATAACCATGGAAGTCGGGAAGTAATCTTAAAGCTACTGTTGTGAGATGGTAGCTGTGCTGGAGTTGTCATTGCTGGTGTGTGCACCAGTTTGCACAGCAGAAGCCACAGGCTTGGAAAAGTCAAGAGCACTCATAAGAAATGTTACCTCACCAATGTTCACAGAGACCTTTCTACAATGGCTGTTGCAATGGAAACCATTCAACTAGGCTTGCTCAGTTCTGAGCACTTAGTAACCATCTATGATGGCCACTAGACCTTTATGTGAATAACACTTGGTTTGAAGCCAAGATGGCTTAGAGAACTGTGCTACTTGGGAAACAGACATCAACAACTCCAAATCAAAGATGCTTCACACAAGTAGTACCCCGGTGGTAAAGAAGCCTAGAAAAATCAAAACCATTGTATTGTGTTATTATTTTCCACTTTATGAATGAAGGAGTGTGATCTATATTAAAATTATACCATATCTAAGTAAGTCTAAAAAGGATCTTTCAGTAAGTATATAATTACAATTCTAAGTAAGGAGAAAGTACACATTCACAGTTTCACCGATGGCATTTTTTTTCCCTAAAGGCACATAAAACAGTATCTTACAATCTATAATGTCTTAGATTTGATTAAACACTTAATGAAATCACCAATTAATTGGAGCTAACATTTGAAATGAAATCCGCTGGCCATCCTCACATGTATATGTATTACTCTTGTCTTCCCAAACAAACTAGTCTCCTGAAGACATAGATAATGTGTCCCACAGTCCCTAGCTCAGTTCTGAGCACTGGGATAGAATGTATTGAGGAGGACTGCAGGATAGGTGAATTGATGATGGGAGAGGAGAAAGTAAACATTGTACAAAAATAAACAATGTTGTAAAATATACATGTAAATACATTATATGAAAAATTTTAGAATAAAAAAATGCTGCGAAACAGAAGGAAACTATAGTGCAAATATATGCTGAAAATATCCATTTTCTCTTGAGAACTGAGGCTACTTTAGGATCCCTAGAGCTTTGTTCAGTGCTCTTGGCCATATAAAAGTGACAGATGCGATAAGCAGAGTGGATGGAGGGATGGTCATCCATACCAGTTTCCGCAAATCTTGGCCCCTCATCACCTCCTATTCTTCTTCTCTGCCTACCCTTGACTCATTTCCTCAGCAGATTATGATTAATTCCTGATGCTTAGATCTTGAAGGAGCAGATTCAGTAACAATCAACTAGAACTTAGACACAGACACTGCACTTCCTCTACATACCCCCTCAGATTGGCTCAGCTGTACCTCCTCAGCCGAGGGTCCTTCCAAGACAGCTACTTCTGCTCTTAGGCCTCTTTCAGCCCAGGTCCCATACTTCAGGAATGGAGGTGCTATGGTGGGATCAGCAGAACTAAAGCAATGGGCATCTCAGGCTTCCCATAGCCTCAGGAAGTTTCTCCCTAATGTTTGAGACCAAACGGTTCACACAACCAAGGGACCCTGACATGGTGCCAGCTGCCATGTCTTCTGCCAGGATTTTCCCTTCTGTCTTGGTGTAAAGGGAATAAATGATATCTCTTGAGTCTTCTTTACCATGAGAAAGCATGACTTCTGATTTACTCTCTTCCAGTTTGAGATAGATAATACTCCTCCTGGTCAGATCATCTACCATAGTCACTAAACCTTTATGTGAATAATACTTGGTTCTAAAAACATCAAATTCATACTCCAAAGGCAAATGCAAACATTAAGGATGTTCTAAAGATTGTGCTGTATGCTTTGAAGTCAGTTCCAGACTTGGAGGCACTTAAAGACTTTTTTTTTTATTAAAAAGTTTATTTTTACATCATTTCGCACATTTTTTTTTCATCTCAATTGTAATCCCCACGGGTTTCCCATCACCAAATCACCCCTGGCACTTAAAGACTTTTCTGAGTAATGGCTCTAACCCTGAAATAAGTGTATGCCTTCTCAGGTGGTTACTCTGATGGGAAGCATGGAGTCTAGATGGATCCGTTCTAGAATATCAAAACTGAGTCATTTCTGGTAGACAACAGCTTCTAAAAACTGCGTGAGGATGAAGTATTTTAAAAGGCTCTCTATAAATACAACAAATATTCATCTACATAGAAGCAACAGCTCATAGAAATACATGTTCACTGGATGGAGGCTCTGTGAGGGCAGGGACTACTCAGGCCCTCCTGTACATCCAGGGCTAGTGCAGTGACACACGCAGCTACTGGTTGCATGAAGGCAGCGCATGGCTCTGTGCCAGGCACTTCAGGTTTTAGCCTTCTGAGCTGGGTAGAGCTCTTGCATCTTAAACAAGATTTCTCTGCTCACCTGATTGAGAATTCTGTTCCTTTCATCACCAGCATCCCCAGCATTTTTTCTCTAGTTGTCACCTTTTATTGATAAAAGTCCATGAGAATTTTGAAAAATGATATGCCTTCTTGCATGCTTTAAACTTATCAGCCAGTATTTTTCACTTTATGGTTAAGAAGCAGTTATGATTTCTAAGTAGATATAGTTTCTGGGTGTTATATACATTGATATTTTGAAATTAAGAATGTTAGTCCTTATTTAAAACGTGTCAAATGTAATTACATACGACAGTGATAAAGCACCCATAACTGACCAAATGATCAGAGCAAGCTCTTCTTGAAAAATCAGAAATGTCACATTGTTCCCCAAATGTGCCCACATTTCTCCTTGAAACTGTCTCTCTATTCTGTTAACCTAGACAACTTTAACTTAATCTATGTTTTTATGATTGAAAATATTGTATTTGCTCAACCTATGGTAATTCTTTAAGCCAAAAGATTCATATAAATTGAAATGTGGTTAAATGAAGATTCCAGTGACCAAACATCTTCAATCCTTATAAAGTTTCTTCTGGAGTGAGTTAGCATTCTAGTGATATTGGGTACAATATAAAATATTAACATTGTGATAAGTACTTAGTGAACACAGGAAGTGAAGTTTCATTGGAAATGCACCTCTAAAGCTCTGAAGCTTTAATTAAAAGGTGTCACCAACACTAGAGCTTCACATTGTTCCTTTGTTTGACCAGGGAGGTTCTGTGCCCCCGGACAAAGTTCTTTTCCAAGTAATGTTCTTTATGGGTGAGACAACCTCATGTCTGAAGCAGTGGAAGGAGACATCTACCAGATTGAGGAGACATCTACCAGATTGTCTCTCAGGCAGATACATTTAGAAGAACTCACACTGATGTGAGAAAGAGTAGTTGAAGCTATCAATTTCTCAAAGCTTTCTTCCACCTCCACATCTCATGGAAAGTCTCTGGACTGTGAACAGTGTGCTTAGTAGTTTTAATACCACTCTTCAGTGTTCCATGAGATGTTATTGGGTATTCTGGTTGTTTTTTTTTGGGTGGGGGGGGGAGGTGTTGTTTCTAAGGGGGAAGTGATAGTTTCCAAATAAGTGTGAAAAATTCTGGCTTAAGCAGTGTTAAACAGATTCCCGTGAGACTTTAAAATAATTTCTTTATGACATTAAGGTGTTTCATTAATTCTCAGAGAGGGGTGGGTGTGGTAGGTGGAGTGACTTTTCTCCCCCACAAAGATGTCCCCCCAACCTGGTCTCTGGTTCTTGTGAAAGTGTTACCTTCTCTGGCAAAGGAAACTGCAGATAAAATTAAGTTTAGAATTTGGGGATAGAGATATCCTGGAAGAGGATCAGACTGATGTGATCTCTAGTTTGGAGATGGAGAAGAAGTCACCAGCCAAGGAATGTGGGTGGTTTCTAGAAGCAAGAAAAGGCAAGGGAATGAATTTTCCCCTAGAGTCTCCAGAAAAGCAAATGCAGTTCTGTTGACATTGAGTTTCCGCCCTGTAAAAATCCCATTTAGGATTTCTGTTCTCCAGAGTGTAAAGGGATACATTTGTGTCATTTTAAGTCACTAAGATTGTGGCAATTCAATAGGTACCTATAGAACTAGCTCACGTAGGTAGACTGTGATGTAGCATTTTCCAGTTTTCTTTAACCAAGGAACTGAGTTTCTGTCGTTTGAGTAGAGTGACCAATTGCCCTGCTTCTCCAGGATTGAGGGGTTTCTGTATAGTGGACTTTTACTGCTAAAACTAGTAATGCCCCAGGCAAATTGGGACAATTGGGTCACCTAGTTCTGTACATCACTGACCTGAACTATGAATAGAGAAGCAACAAATCATTTCAGAGACTGGAAGAAGATGGTAGATGCCTAACATTTAAGATGCTACCTTTCAGCAGAGGAAGCTGTACGCCCATGTTGCCACATTTATCACCCTTCTCTATTTTCTTTTTAATTCTACCTTAATTAAACCCTAACTTCTTTAAAACAAACAAACAAATAAAAAAAAAAAAAACCTTTGGACTAAAGTCCTTTTGTCCCTGATTTCTCTATAGTTACTGAGCATTTGCTGTTAGTTTGGCTGTTTGAAGTGCTATAGGGGAAAGCCCAAAAATGAATCAGTTGGGTCCTCCTTTGATGTGGTCCAGTTAAAAGATGAGATAAAGACAAATGAAATAAACATGTGAACTAGC